GCCGGCGCGCTCTTGCGGGCCGCCTTGGTGGCCAGCTGCTTGCGCGGCGCCTTCCCGCCCGTCGACTTACGCGCCGTCTGCTTCGTGCGCGCCATAGCCGAATTGCTCCCTTAAACCAAACCTGAACAAAGAAAAATGCAGCTCGCGCCCGGCTCTGCCTCATATTTATATCCCACGCTCTTTCCCCATTGGTTGATCGAAAGAGTGACTCTGATTGGACCGATTTGAACGACGCCGTCGACAAAAGGGCCCGAGGTAAGGGACGTATTGAACGTGGAGGCCCTTCCCCGAGCTTTTCTTTCTATGGTTCAATGAAAATGTAGGGGTGTTTTTTCCTGATATGACATTCTATTATACCTTAGTTATTCTATTTTCTTTTCTTCCATGTTATGCTTCTTCTRCAAATGCTAAATAAATATGGCTCGAGTAAGACAAACTTTGGTTTTCATTAAAATTTAAATAATTAATTTCTTTTTTTCAGATCTATTGCATCTGATATTTTCGCGACCAAGGGAATATTAACGTATTCGAACTATTACTGCAACAGCATTCAAGTACTCACTAATATCACATTTTCTGCATTGTTTTAATGAGAAAGAAAAAAGGAAGACTTCTTTTAAATACCTTTTATTTAAAATTCTACTCTTACCTGAGACCACATGTTTTAGGCTACTGTCTACCTCAGAGAACAAGGAATACCCTGATACCCTGCCACTATTAATGTTACGGACTTTAGGCGTATTTCAGTGCTTTATTTCACAGGCGAAGAAAAGGGGCAGGAAATGTAGAGAGACGTTCCCCTCCCCCTCCATCAGGCGTTCAGAGCGGAAGGGACCCGGGGGTAGAGGGGGGCGGGCAGAGAATGGGGGTGGGCGGAGAATGGGGGCGGGGAAGGTTTCGAACCCGCCAATGAGATTCGCCCAACCAGGGGGCCGAAGGAGGAGGGGAAGCGCGGGCCTTAAATAGGGGTCGTAGCTGCCGCTSCTCTTCTTTCCGGTTTTGGAGAAAATCCCGGGGAAAAGATGGCGCGCACGAAGCAGACGGCGCGTAAGTCGACGGGCGGGAAGGCGCCGCGCAAGCAGCTGGCCACCAAGGCGGCCCGCAAGAGCGCGCCGG